GAACAGAAATTTTATCTCAGGTAATGAGAAGCCCGGCACAAGGGCCGAAAATCCCCAGTACTCGAGGGGATAGTTTTCAATAGACAGACGTAGCCAGGTAAGCATTACCGTCTAATTGTTATTCAAGCGTTTTGCTGACGTGCACAACTTCTTGGACAGCCGGTGCATTACGAAACACAATGCTGATTCTAGCAGATGGATCACCCCCTCGGTATTCAACATCTATTCTCCGATGTGACCCCATGCTACTTGTATTGCACGATATGTCTGAAACGTCAAACCGTGTAGCTGATACTTATTTTCTAAAGAGTGGTAATCGTCCAGTTGGCGCCCCTCCTCACACCCACCATTTTTCATCAATCGCGTATCTCTGCACAGAATGATTGTCAAAGTACGACATTTGCATCGGTGGAATGGAAATGGAAAGACCACGTATTTTTGTAGATTTTCCACTCGTACATCGAACTAACATGGTTTGATGGGGGTAAAGCATCAGCAGATACGTGCAAGCTACAATAGGTAATAAACAGACGGAGCGAACGTATATGCTGATTGATTAGCCGAACAATTGGTAAAATAAATTAATGCAATTTAGAAAAGAAAAAATCACGCTGCTAAAGCTAATATGGAAATGATCAGTCAAACAAGCCACAACATGTTTCGGCTGATTGACTCAGAGGTTGCAGATTTTCATCTGGCAAAATATGACTGAACGCAGTTAGATGTGAACTTCACGAGCGTACTCTAAAAATGCACGAAGTTACCCATCACGAGCTATCGATACTAACGACCACGTTGAGTATGTCAAACAGGTCATACCTGGTCGTAAATAGGGCGCTTTTTAGTTGCTAGCTATTGCTAATCGCGAACAATGGAGAGCTTTGAATGCTAAAATACACGCATAGGGAAACGAAGACAAATACACGAGCTCGTCGGCGCATATCAGTCGTGCATACCCCATATCATATCAGGGTAACGACAATACAAGGTTCGTTTGACTTGATCAAAATCTGGATATATTTTTTTACGGCTACGCTCTTCCCGCTTTGTTGTTTCGCTAGAGCCTGAAAAGCCAATGGATCCTGCCCGTTGCGGTTTAACCAATCCCTAACAGTAATGCGAACAGGAGCTCGATACGACTGGAGCTGGGATTGATGACAGGCATTTTAAGCCATCCTGTCCTCTTCTTACGTGTAGGTGAACACGAGTCTGCACGTGTGTTTGCCAGTGCCCGTGCGTATTATTTGTGGGACAATCAACTTGAGCGGAGAGGCGTGAAGATCTAATGCAGCCGTAATTTTCATGATTACTGTAAAAGAGAAGAGCCCGATAAGAGGGAGGGACAGGAAGAGAGATGCTGTTGTTGTCAGCGGTGCTGAAGGTGATGGCGGCGGTGGCAATGGGATAATGCGGCTTCTGATAACGAAGAAGTAAATCGCTTGGCTGAACTTACAAGAAGCTCGGATTTGTTGCGCTTGTAAGTGACGATGGGATGCCTCGCGTTTCGTTGTGCAGAGTCTTGAATTTCTCAATGAAACTTGCGCCTTATATAGTTTACAATAGTTCGCTTGCATGGGGTATAGATCAACGAATCAGATATAAAGGGTACCGTTCTATACAGCAGCCAGCTGTGTCGATCTATCATAGAGAAGAAAAACTAGAGGAACCACTTCTTAGACATGTATTTCTGTAAAGTTCAGTAGTACTACTACTACGACTAAGATATAATAATCTATTAATTAGCAAGAAACGTTATAAGCACCTGACAACGCAGGTAAGTGCTCGGTACATACCTAAAAAAAAATATAATTCAATGCGCCGCGTAGCGGCCACCTAGAGAGATAATCGAAAAGAGATGATCTTACTCTTTCTTATTGAGCCGCATTTTCTAACTACTACGCTTTCGACTAATGACTAAGTAGCTCCGGCGACATAAAACTTAACTTTATATACAAGCCTTGTAAGGAACTGTATTACAAACTAAACGCTGCAAAGCAGACAATCAATGAAGCTGAGCTAATCGACCGTTACTCCTGAAATTTAAGAGCTCGTATTCACCCTTATGAATTACTTGACCAGAAAGCATGACAAACTTGCTTAAAAATCTCATTCTGCTGGGAAATGTCCTCGTTTGTGTTCCGCCACCATCGCTATCACTAACGGATGCGCCGGCGCAGCTGCATAGGCTGCCGCTACTTATTCTCAAGTATGGAGTACTATCAGCAAAAAAATAGACTACTATGTGATCTTTGGCTGACGCCATCGGGATATCTCATGTGAGTTTTGTTGTTCCACTTGGACGCCATTGGAGCCTTCAAATAATCGCTTGCTGACGTCCCAGCATCAGCAACACTTCAGATTTCAAGTATGCAAATATAAGCTAGGCTAACAATTCAATAGTTCGCTGGCTTTGCTCAGATCGAACGGTGTCTAAGGCCGTGCCTGCGCCTCCAACTAAGCCGTAAATATAGCACGTTACGCATCGAGTCGCTGATAAACAGAAAGCAGGTGCATTCAGGTGCATGCTAGGCCGTTCAGAAAAAAGAAAAACGACCCTTTTGTATTTGTTCGTATGACTAGCTTATGCAGGTATTTTAACAGAAAATCACCTATAAAAAACATGATAGGGTGCACAAAGGCCTTAGGCTAAGGGTTGTTGTTGTCCGTGGGCAATCGCTGTTATACAATCGATGTTGTAGCATAGGGAAAGTAGCTTCGAACTAGCAATGAGAGCGTGAGAATCCTACGACAGGTGCGGCCTTACGGACCTACGGACATCACCGACCGATTCACAGGCCGACTTCAGAAAATCAGGATACAATAGTAAAAAAGCGAATCAGAAGCTCACGGTGTTCTCGGGTTTCGGTTAAAAAAGGAACCGTTATCTATAACTTCTGCATTAAAATACACGAGAGAAATTCAAAGTTTGAGGCGCTCACTTCGAATGGCCAAGCAAATCCAAAGCGGGCAAATATTTTCAAAGGCTCCTTTTGGACTAGACGAAAATCAATAATTATTGAATTGGCTTTCCTGGATCTGTTGTGCTCGTAAGGTTACTCTTAAGATTCAGCATCTATAATCACTTCCGAGAAGCATTTTGTGCTAAAAGTTTGTATATCGGCATCAGTGACGCCGTTTGGCCACTATTTCAAATGTATTTTCATCTTAAGGAGCGTATATAGCACCAAAAACTTTCCAATTTTATAGACCGGTCTTATTCAAACGCGTGTACTATAGAAGCAAAGGGAATAACCTGACAACGAGAAGTGTTGTATATCCACACGCAGTGCCGCAATTTATAATTCGCTGACGTTGGACCAACAGATCGATCAGTGAGCGTTGACGATTTATAATACATTCATCCTTTGAATAAGCCTATATGTAATCCAATGGCGTTGACGCACTCATTCTGAGACCGACGTTTTTTACACCTAAACTAAACTGCTCTCTTCTTTTTCACTCTACTTTAATTGGTTTCCGTCGCCTACCTGCGGAAGGTCAGATCCTCTCCGTTGCAGATGCTCATCTTCGTTGGTCTTGTAGAACTTGCACAAATTTCAAGCACTCCAAGAAGTTGAACTTAGCTTGTCCCTTGTGTCCTTTGTCGTCGCTACCTGACCACGCGTCTGCCGGTGTGGTTTCTCAGTGGCACTAGAACAGCGGCTCTCTTGTCGCTATCCCGATCGGAACTGAACTGACTGCGAATGGTGGATCTGACAGCAGCGGCCAAGGCAGCACGACTTTGGCTAGAGCGAGTCACACATTCGGACACGCACTCGCAGATCCACAAGGAGCACCGGGCGGTAACAGGGAACCGGCCGGCTTCACACGCCACTGCTACCGCCGCAACTGCCCTCTCCCAGTTCGGGGCTCCCTTTATTGGCCTCCTTTCCACTTCTCGTGTCTCGTCGTAGTCGTTCGTAAAAGCAGTAGCAAAGGCCTGCAGCAGTAGCAGCGATAGTAGTACTGGTCGTATCTGGACGAACCGGTCGCACGCAGAACAGCAACTACAGCAGCGGAATAGGACAACAGAGCGGTATAGCAGTAAAGCGGTCTTTACCGAAGAACTGCTAACTCAAAGTTAGGAAAGGAAAGGGAAGAGACAAGGGAATGCTTCACTACGGCGCCTACAAAAGATGTAGGTGCTGTACTGCACACTTCAAAGCACCTATAGACCACGTTCGTAGGCTTTCTCGGCGATACTTATGCGAATGCCACCTATTTCCATTTACTGTGAGCGTACTGCATGGTTCCGGCCATTGCTTCGCTCGCATCTGGATATATATCGGTGTATCTGACTTCAGTTGTACAATATAAATGTAAGCCAAAAGATAAATTATCCTTTGACTAACTACGGCTTAGAAAGATGTCATGGATTTTTTCGATTTCGGTTCCAGCTGACATTCTGCCACTTGCGGTCTACGTGCATCGATACCATCATATAACCACGTTATCCCAGCTTAAATATTATGACACGCTTCCATTATAACATTGGTCTCCAACGTGTCAGAGTCTACAAACCTTTTTGCAAATTATATATGCAGCAGTGATGCTATGAGCAACAGAGGTGGGTTTTTAAATCCATTCCAGAAGGTATGGATGACGAGCAGAAACCGTAAACTGAAGTTGAGTCGACACCTCCTTCCTTCTACGGCTATTAGCGGCATTTTGACAGAAATTCTTAAACCTTTTCCAAATTTGTGCAAGTTTTAATACTGTATAGTTATTTCTTTTCAACCCTGTGCTGCGAGCCGATAAGGTTAGCTCGTTCGTTCGTTTGGTCGGTCACGTCGCGTCGTCTTTCACTCTTCGACGCCCCCAGTTGTTCCCTGTGTTGTAACTACCCCCTAGTGGACACCCACCCTTCGCTGTGCCGTCACACAAACTACCCTCTCCCGGACTGTATGGGGTGTGGTCTCTATTCGCTGTTGTCTGTGGAGCTTTCATCGCTCAGTTAGATGCTGCCGGTGTACATAAATCTACATACGTGCGGCGTTCAGCTTACTTCAAGCATTAACGACGTTGTTTTCAAAATTTCAGTTCTAACCCAGAATGCTCGAAATCTCCGCGTTCAACGTATTGATAATTACAAGGTAAATTAGATGACACAGACACTAGACAAAGCAATATGTGCCTACTTCATTGGGGATTTGGTGCGCTTCTCAAGTGAGACTTATTGACTTTTGAACAATTTAAGCAATTAATATCGGCTCACTGCACCGTTACGTTGACTACCCTGATTATCATCCACTTTTGACCCCTATAAAACAGGGAAGAGATATTTAAAAACTCGAGGTCAATCCCTGAGGAGGAGGGGGGGGGGTAAGAGAGCTAAAAGAACAACGCGTTTTCCCGATAAGGCCATGAGGCGCCGATACTTCTTTTAATGATAAAAATGGAAATTTACGAAAAAAACCCGTAAGATAAACTACGGAAATCTGTGATCCTGTGAGAAATGTTACCTCGACTGGGAAAATGGGAACACGTGCGTCTTCACTGTTTATTTTTCAGCTTGAAAATAAATAACAGTGCCCCTCTGACACCACAACAAACTGTCAAATTAGCGACAGTTGACCGTAATACGCGCTTGATACTGGCGTTTTTGAACACATTGGATACTTCTAGCAGACGACGGTTTCTTCACTGGAATGGATAGCGTACAGGAAAGCCAAAACGAAATTTCCAGGTAAGACTTTTGTTCGCCCCGCAATAAAAAACGCCATCAGTTTGGGATAAAACATACTTTATTACTTGAGTTTGGCTAATTGTTCGCAGATAATTTAACGAAAGGTCGACTACTTTTCAAATTCTACCAAGGTATACCCACAGGATATTGCATTCGGCATGAAACGATATGTCAGAGTAATAGCTCTACGCGAATGCCTATAGAAACCCAACCGTAATAGGACGATATTAGGCAACTTGATTTTAAGGTTAAGAAAACCTTTATGATTTCACTTAGTACTATAGGTAATTTTTTTTAATCGACTGACTTGCGTCAAATTGGTGCGTAAGAAAATTCTACCGTAGAAGTGCGTGTCCTCTAGTTTTAGACAAAACAGTTAAATACTTTCGAAGTGGTATCTACTCGTCACTCTTGTGAACTTGCCTTGTTTATAGGCTTATATCACCTTCCAAGAATTATCGTTAAGTTTTGAAATATCCTGTGTGTTCGAGGTGACTTGCGCTGCGCTACGGGTAATATTGCTTTCAGGTAGACTGATTACGTTGACAGGCTTCAGCGAACACGAACACATTTATTAGCTGGAGCCCAGATTCCCACCGGCACGGAAATCAACGCTGCAACACCGAATAGTTACCCAGGAAGGCTAGAAAACGATAAACAGACATTGGCCCCGCTATTTACCATTGTTGAGTCCTGATCCGTCACTGATGAGTGTAAATGGTTTCGCTTGTACGCTCTGGGAGCAAAGTGGTATTATCGTGTAAAACACGAAATCACGATAATGCAATTTCGATCAATATAAGTAAGATAATTGCAGCAGATTAGTTCTTCAATTACTAGTGAAGTCATTTCCCGCAGTTACGTATTACTGCTGTTGTTACCGTATGCCCGCGTCCTATAGAAGTATTAAGGGCTAAATAGTCCCGCCACGAATATTCAACTGTTTCATCATAGCACTTGCCTGAATCCTGCGGTTCCCTATCGTCATTTTGTATGTTTTCGTGTCCTATTATGATTCAGTACATCGTGTGAATAGGCTAAGCCTATACCTGATCTCGCGTGCGGCTGATCAGAGAAGAAAGGGGAATTCGAAGACTTCAGTACGAGACCAATGGACTTATTGGCAGTCAGCGTACGTACAGATGAATACACGCCACGATAACCAGTAGCAATTGTACGACGCCATCATGAAAACAGTAGAATAGATCGCAGTAGCTGTAGGCATGTGATCGCCGAATGTCGAAGTGAAGTTGACTTGTTCAGCCTGTTGCTTCCATCCCTAAACGGCCTGCGTTAAAACCGTCAACGACATGTAGAAAAGCGGTCATCCTAATCTCGACGGGTTTTGAAGAAAGGCAATCGTAAATAAGAATAGGGGACACATCTCAATGGGTAAACGCTATCGCTGAACGGTCAACGCATAACACCGTGAGAGGGCTAGACTGGTTGCTTTTGGCTGGACCTTGTAAGAAAAAAAAGGGCTAAATTTGGCAAGCGCATGGGGCGTAAAAGGTAACAAATGAAATGCAACGTGGACAAATATATACAGCATGAATAAGAAAGATTGCCTTTGTTCTAATAAGTATAATAGCAACTTGCTTAGAAGTCACATCTGGAAGCCGTTTGTGACAAAAATCAAGTTGTCTGACCAGCAATTTTTGTATATTATATAAAATTTATATGCATTTGGGTAAGTGCTGTTAAGTTAACTTCTGAGTTATTTTGCGAGCGTAAGTTCAGTTGCGAAGAAGTCGCTATATATGTGAACTAATTGTGTTTTGCCTGGAAATCTGCTAGTATTGCAAAAGGAATGAATGACATTTTAAAATTGTGGTCATACGCTTCTAGCAACTGCAGTAGCTCTTGCAGAATATTCTGCTGCCTATTAGGAGCCGTAGCTCGTTGTTTTGTAATGCCTGACGCTGCATACTTGCCCTAATGTTGGCCTGCAATGATTTACGTATAACGCAACGGAATAAAAATCGAAACGTATTTCATTCCATTTGAAATAAAAACAAAAACCTGGGCTGGTTATCACCCAACAGAGCGTCCAAACTAAGTCGAAAAGTATCCAAAGGCGTAATGCACTACAGACATTGAACTAACCAGACATACGTAGTTACTGTTTGATAAAGGATTCTCAGGTGGCCTAAATACGAGAGTTGAAATCTCTCAGCACTCATATGATATGATGTAAGCGTACTAAGAAGCACTTACCTCGAAAACAGCAAGCAGACTTCATCATCTACTGCGCCATAGTCCAGACCAGACCGGTATATGCCTATCTAAAACGGTGGTCCTCCTTGAAGGCAGTAACCGGCAAGAAATCTGTTTCAGAAGAAGTGTGGGATGTAGAAGTCAGTCGGATATCAGTCACGTTGATATCTAGATTCACGAAATAGCAGCAAACTATCAGACTGCTACGAGCACCACTCACAGAGAGATCCGGGCCCGGCAGCGTTCTGGCTAAGCGCCGGTACGGTGCTACCGTCATCTCAGAGTCGTCATTCGGAAGGAAGCAGATAGCCATTATGGAAAAGAAATCGATTCTGTGAAGGCAGGGAGGAGATCAGGTAGGTATTATATGCCTATTCCCTCCTTTCCACTCGGCGTTAAATGTCCGTTTTGCCAACAGCCTGATCGTACGTAAACAGGCTGCACATTAAGAAACTGCATTAGATCAGAAACAGGGTCTATTAGTGAGTAAGAGTTTATTTGGACTCTGTCGTTGAATCGAAGAACATATAAGCAGCCACCTGCTGTACGTAACGGGTGGCGGTAGTACGTTAACGAACGCAACATCACCCGAATAACATCGAACAGCGAAATAAAACACAATTAGAATTGGCATAGATAATTAAGGACAAAAAAGGAAAAACACGCATCTCCTTAGTGTAAAATGCCAGTAGATGTAAATAATACACTGTTTTAACTATCCACGACTTTGTTTCCGCATGCACTTACGATTTAAAGAGAATCTGTTAATTGATTTTATTGTGAACGCTTTGTATTTAATCCCTCTGTGAAGATAAGAAACACAAAATTCTACTGAACGAAGCGTTCCAACTACTAACTCGTGGACATTTCTCTCTGACTTGACTCTAAAATGATGTGCTACAAGTTGGACTCGTCTAACCATTAGACAACAGCTCATTGTATCGAAGTCTGCTGCGCCTCCAAAGCGGTAAAAATCCGTATAGGACGCGCATTGTACGTGTTGTAACAATGCTTCCCATTTTTGCTGTCCCTGGAAAACATGGTATACTTTTTCCAGCGGGGAGCGATTTATTGGAATTGGCATTTCAAAACTGAAAGAGACCATCCAATCGCTGGTTCAGTTCCACCTTCTGTGAAATAGTGACAGCAGCAGAACCAGCAGCAGCGTGACACATAACAGTCAATGTCTACCTCGCCTGAAGTTGGTCACCTCGTAAGCAGGGCATCGAGTCAATCCTACGGAAAGAAGTCTCTAGCCAATTTTGTCCACTACGCCGGCAACCCAAATCACAGCACAACACCCTTCATCCACGACTTCGAAATCATACATGGCTAGAACAATAACAACAATACATTTTGCGGAAATGAAAAACGTTCAGCAAAAAGGGTAAGATTCTCGGATGACGCCACTTCGGCCCGATGATACCCAGCAAGACGAAAACCAACAAACTGCAATCTTTTTTTTTTTTTTTTTTTTTTTTTTTATTATTATCGTAGTAGAAGCGTAGCAGACTACTTAATAGATCTGCATAGTCCTATAATTCTGGGTCACTGCTATCCCGGTAATCATGACTACCATAATGGCGCTAAACCAATTCCATTTTTATACCAGCTAGTTACTTTGTGCAGTCCAGATTTACAGAGATGGTCAGTTGATGATAGCTTAATTAATCCCAGTCAGTCTGTAAGCAAGTGCAAAATTATGAGTAAGGTGCATTTCTACGATATCATTAGATACTATAAAGGACTCTGATTTAATTTAAAAAAAAAAAATCCAGATTCGCCGATGTTTGTAACTGTCACCGTTTAAGCGTAGCCGTACCTGTACGAAATGAAGCAAAAATGCTGGCCACCTTTAAATTGCAGATTTATATCATGGGCCTCAAAGCACAGAAACAAGTCTACGGAAGCAATCGGCTCGTGGTGGTCACCTCTTTCACTGCGGGACGCTTGGACACGATAAACATGTCGACACCTGCTCGTGCATTTCGTGCGGCGATCGTTTGTATCATTTTTTTCATCACGTTTGTCATGTACTACTTCGTTGGCATTGCGCAATTTGGTACGGCCAGTGACAGCTCACGCCGTTCGCTATTAATTAGGGAACGTTATCGTTGAACGCTCGTTGAACTGTGTTTGCACATTTATCTGACGCAGGGGTGTATAGACTAGGAATATACGTTTTTTTCAAACGGTGAGGAAACGGCCAGCCAGTTACGCTGCGTCCAACAAACAGTGTTACGTCCTATATTCTAGGTGTGTCGCCTTTTGATTCTCCGATCTAGGCGTAAGGTACGTGGCTTAGCAAAGCTATTCTGGTCTCAGAGAGTGTGACTGACCCTCCATTGATCTAATGAATGATTGACCCTAATGAATAGTTCCAAATATCTGTCTTGCAAAGTAGCACGAGTCATACACGATTCATTGGATCAGATCATAGTTACGACACACTTAATAAATCAACATAAAAAATCTACATTTCTTTAATCAATTCCATGTCAAAAGCATTGAGTTTATGAACTTCCTCCTCTATGCAACTTTTTCCAGTAGTCGAACTAGGTTAAAGGCTACAAGAGCTGACTATCGGCTAGTATTGTACCTAAAAGCTTTCGCCGTTTCCTTTGAGAAAGAGTCGATGCTTCTAGTTGTATTAATTATTGTTGCTATTCAGGCGGAAGCGAAGCTCGATAGCCGTCGTTTACATTCATTGAAGTCATCGAAGTCTTTTTGTCAATAGACACAGACAGACACACGTACCCGCGCATAAAAACCTCCCCATTCTTTCAACTTATCAGCATCGCTATCTATAGCATGATGTGCACCTGATAAACAAACCGAAATCACCTAACATTATATATCGGCCTTGTAGGACCGACGACCAGCTAGGTGTGTCGAGGAAGGCACCCAATCCGCGAGAGAGGTTTGCGACGTACAGTTACGCCTCAGTTCATTATGACCGTTATTATTAGAGTATCGATGTAATGGTAATTATTTATTCTTATTCGTAGCTTTCTCATATGCTCATATCCGATACTTCCACTACCAGAAATACTAAGATCTAGCCAGCAGCCCCTCTATACCTGACCCATATTTCTCGAGCTAAACACATACCCCATTAAGGCGCCGCGGAAAATTAGATAGCTCAATTGACGCCATATGCTTGGGGCAGATTGTCAAACCCTCCACTACGCAGGTGCTGCTCTCTTGTTGTGTCTACATACGCTCTAATTGTTCCCATATAGTTTAATATAGTGCGGCTATTTTTTATGTTTAACTCATCTCTTTGAACAGTCAAGTAACTTCAACTTCAGATATCACACACAAGACATTTCCGAATATTTAGCAACGGCAGGTAGTAAAGTTATCTGTGATCGTACTTGAAAACAACGATTTGAATAAATGGGACACGCGTCGCCGTAAAAACAGTGTTTAATGGTTTCCTCATTCATTCAACTGGCCTGTTTGTTTCTTCGAATTTTCCCACAATAATTTGAGAAAATTGATATTAACAGGGAAAAAATGCTAATTCAATCCTCTGACACGAAAAGTACGATGGGAACATGTCTCACCGATTTCATATATATATAGAAAAATAAAATTATTGCTTATGAACAGTATGAAGCTATTAAACTCGAACATGTTGATCGTCTCTTGCGGTAATGATTAGTCCACGAAGATTTTGTAAGTGTATTTGGCTATCTGGGATGGACGTAGAATAGATGGGCATAAATTAACGATCCTGTAGTAATCCTGATATGTATATTCGGCCTTTTACCTACAGTAGTACAACGGGACGTTTCTATTCGTAGCTACATTATAAACAACAGAATTAAGGATAGGACTGCGTTTTCTGTCGAATTAGTGCTACTACTGCTATTGCCTACTATAAAATAGCTTTCTTAAGATTCTTGCGCTGCCGACCGGTGGCAACATACACGGAAGTGCGTTGCACTCAAAATATAGGTTCGTAATCTTTAAAACAGTAAAGGGACCACGCTTAATTAGGACGACATCACTAGGTAACGTAGGCGAAAGGCACCAATGAAAGAAAGCAGGATTGGTAAGCTTTTGCGGCAAGGACACTTACTGTACACTCAGGTAAACGCACACGTAACCTGTGTTGCTTCGAAAGTGGTTTTTGTCCCGCCATAGCCCTTTGTTGCACGCACGAATAACATATAACAGAATAGTCCCATAGAGAAATGCATAAAGCAAATTGTTGTCAGATATGCATCACACGTATAATCTGGTCGTGATAACGCATTGGCGTTTAAATAAAAGGGGCGACCAACTTGATAATGTTGAAGAGTCAGGACGTAGGCACAGTTCTGCCGGTCGTCTATATAATTCATCGGTAACACAATAGCCAGCCCAAAGTTTCAAACCATCTTTACCGTTAGAGCAGCGAATTTAGCCCAGCTTGAGAAAGCATCGACTTCGACCAATATTGGTGTCTGCCTATATATCAGTATTTATGAGCAGAACAGCAGACGACACCCCTATAGTTACACATGTACATTAACTCAAAATGCCAATCGTAATAGCAATTATTCTTGAACCTGTTTTTTTTATTCCGAAAGGGCAACCGAACTGCCACTGATACCTAAGGAGAGTAAATTCGCCAGCCGACAGTAATCAAGTGCTTCGTGTTCAAACGCACCACCTAGCAACAACATCAATGGGGCTCATCGTACCGTAAAACGAAGTCAATCAAGTCTATGCTTCACTGGACGATGCTCGTCCTTATACGATGACTCGAGCGCACGCATTTTGGTGCTCAAATCTAAACGTAAGTAATCTGTGAGAGCGGTCTAGCGTTTTACGACGGACTATCACGGATTTCTGGTTTTTGTTTATTACGTTTAGTTGAAGAGTACCGCTGAAAACGAAATATATGTCGAATAAAAAAAAAAAAAAAAGGAAATATTTACTCGTATCGCTGAGTGGCCGTCTATTGGTCAACACGGGTCGTTACGAATTTCCGTGTTTCGGCTCGCAGCTCTCTTAGAATTTAGTGAACGCTTAGAAGGAGCCGTAATCTTGATGGTACCAAGTGTAAGCTCTATATGCACTTTGCAAACGACAGAGCGCGTTTTACGCAAGTGATATGTGAGGTGATTTTAATTTAGTCAGTTTTAGTCCTAAAAATCACCTGACTGTTAGATATGGTACGTGTTACTTAGTAACAGATTGTACCATATTTAAAAGCTCTGTTTTTTGGACGTTTCCTCCACCCAATTCCATCGGTCTATGCCTTAGCTACTTCTGGTAATAAATCATTGCGACGCGTTCACTTTTTAAATTGCTTTAAGTATGTGCTACCTATAATTTGGCGTGAGATTGTGGTAGGCCGATTCAGTGACATATTAGATGAGCAGAGGGCCCAGAAACGAGCCTCAATCTACGCCTATTGCTTTCATTCTCTTCGTCGGTACAAATTTTCTCCGCTCAGCCTCAAGGTTCTCCACCTGTATTAAGTGCTTCTTCTCGATGGCTCGGCAATTTTGCCGCTAATGACAATAGCACTAGTCGAAGGGCAGATATTCTGAGTGCACCAAGCGTCTTTAGGTACGGTCTTTGTTCTTTTTGTTTCTGAATCACTCTGCTGTAATAGGCCCTCCTAGTCGCTTTCAGCTACGTTAATATCGAAATCTGGCGACTCCTCAAGTGGCTCCTTTTTTCTACAATGCGAGCTATTAAAAAAATCTGTTTCTCATAGCAAATAGGCGTGTACACAATTAAGTCAGATTTGTTCCAGACATTTATCCATCGCTTGCGGGTGTTAGACGGGGCAGGATTGCTTTTATTGCCTTCTTCACTTAGAAATTCAGTAGAGTCGATCGCGTAGAATTCATTAGACTTAGACAGTTGCCCAACATGTTGTAACGGTAAATGATCTTGGGCATGAGTATGCCGCAGCGATCATAGACAGTCAACTGCGCATTGATTTTCCGCGTCCCGATAGCCGATCGTTGATCGTTGGTATACTTTTTCGGCTGATGTGAGTACGTTTCAGTAATTAGAAAACATGGACGTTCTTCAACCACTTATACACATAATGGTGAGCGGTACTTTATATGCGAATGCATCACCGTGTCAATATCTCCATAAATTAAACTGTCCGTTATATTCTTGTTCTTCGTCCGCCTGTCACGACGAGAGATGACATGGGGTGAGGAGGCAAGGGGTTACGGGGAAAGGCGGCAAGAGAAAATGTCGTACACTGATGCGCAGTGGCTGTAACTGAACGACCAATAACGAAACGCGCTAATAGCCATTTAACTCGAGTCCCGTTCAAGTTGTTTGGCAGCTCTGTCGATCTGAGGCTCGTGCTTCTCACCATCAGCATCGTTGTCTGTGATACTCAGATGATGAAGTATGGTCTAGATCTGGCTACTTGAAGCGACACTGTGTGTTGTGGTACATAAGAAGCCGTTTGTTCAAAGCTTGGTGGCTTCGTGGATGCCCACCGTAGGAAGGTGGATATCTAGACCAGCACCTCTTTTGGAACTAATGCCGTTGTTGTTGCAATTTATCGTACCGCTTCTACCGAATAAATACTTCGAGTCTACGGTTACTTCTACTAGGATTACTATAGTAGCTTTGTCGAGATAGCAGTAACATCACTAGCGGCTCATCCTGCTGCCGTTCAGGTAGTAACGGGCCTGAGAGCTTTCTCATCGGTTCTGAGAACGATCTAATCAGCCTGATAGCAACTATTCAACTAGTATTCAAGCATTCACTCATTAGAGAATATAGATTCCTGAAGACGACATTTAGTCAATGATGAAGTAGACGAAAAAGGACGACGAAGCTGAGTGAACGCATGGATAGGTATAGCTAGCAGACGAAATTATCGAAGATAGCCAGCTCACGCATAACAAAGCGAATGAGCAAAGGAAGACAGAGTGACAAAAACAGGGAAGTTTCGCTGTCTGTCTGTCTGCGATTGGTGGTAACTGGTAGAACGTTTTCCTCACGATAGTACTGCTGCTATAGCTGCGGCTGAGTGAAGGCAGTGATAGAATATTGCTTGTTGGCGCAGTACTTTGACTCGACGGGGGCCGTTACAACCACCGTCACCAGTCGCTGCCATCACGACGTCGAACGTCGTTAAAGAAGGAAGTATATTATTGGTAGTAGAAAAGCGTCAGCGTTGTTATTATTGGTGTCATTGATGCATTGAAACGCATGCCGACGCGCGGTGTACGCCTGCGAGGGGAAATAACAAGGGATTGTCGTCGAAGAAAGAATGGAAGGAAGAAAAGCAGTGAGAAAACGAGTAGCGGCAACAGTTGTACCGATCATCCATCTGTTGCTGTACGATTGAATCTGGTCGGAAGGAAGGTGGAAATATGAAAGGAAAAATTGCGACCCTTTTTCAACAGACGAGCCCTTTTTAATAGGGGACCCTTCTCACAGAAGCGGTGGTGATTCCGGAACGTACAGCAGCAGATGCAAGTGACAAGAAATAAGCAGCTACAGTAAATTTCAGATAGGATTTTGCTGCTTAGACACAGTTGCTGCTGCGGCTGGTCATTGTTGATTGTCATTGGCCATATTGCTATTAAATTAACCTTTATTGAGATTGTTGTCGTCGTCACCTTTTGTTGCTGGCGCTGTTCGGAACGTGATTGCTCATGGTGACTTTTGTGGTCGGAAACTGCGTCGGACAGCTTCTAAATAGAGGCAAGCGTATCTAAACATCGTCAAGTCGAATAGGGTAACGCCGTCGAATGGATCAATAAACTCCTAGATAAACCAATTGTAGACAACCACAAACTACGAATACGGAGGAAGACGACTAGTAGTAAAGGCAAAGAATAGCGCGGTCATGACAATGGTGGCGGCGGTATTGGCGATGGGCATGCTGCTGGTGCCTGCCAAAGCTGTGTCATTTGTTGGGGGTTGCTTGTCTACGACGACTGTTATGACCGACGAATGGTTTAACTAGTAAAAGAAGAAGAAACGCAGCGCAAATGGCCAGTAAATAGACCAGGGTCTAGCGGCCAATCGAACGCAAAAACGAACTATACAGAATTATAGAATAATGGGTGGAGTGAAGAAACTGAAGGAGCGTACATGTACGTACATATGTTAGTATGCGATTAAACTAACTGGACCGGAGGATATAGCAGACGGTCTGCTGAAGTCTACATGTAACCGTAGTAGGTTATTTAGTTAACTTTATTTAGTATACAGTTCACTCACTAGAAAGACGTAAACAACGATTCAAAAGCTGATCTTCCTTTTCATGTCAAGCCGCAAATGTAGAGATACCAGGGCGTCTTGAACGCGCCTATCGGTCGGCAATCAATGCACTCATAGGGACGCTCAGTTTAAAGGCTACTTTGATAAAAGATTAGTCTTCAGAAATTATATTGTGCGTCGTCTGCAATCATTTGCAACGAAACCGACAAATTTAGAGGAGAAAAACACCAGCGCTAAAGATTAGCTATGCCCAGAACGATTAAAAACGA